AGATCACTTTACGTCTTTCACGCTGCTTCAGTTTCCTTGCTCGAAATATGACAATTAGGTGTGAAAATGATCCCAATATGGCCATAATTTCATCTGTAGATAGGATAGGAAAATAAAAAAAAATCCAATATATATGATGGTAATCATTAGAAATAGATATAAGTTTAAAATTGTCTAAGACTGTTGCATAGAAATTGTTGTCTAAATGATGCGAAAAATGAAAATAACACTTTTTAACAGGTATACAGGGTGCGATGGATAAATTGTCGTCTAAATGACACAGGAATCAAAATAATACTGACATCTTATTTTAAAAGATATATTTACCAAAATTACACAAAAAATATCTTGAAATATTGAAGGGTGAATTTGTTTAATAAAATCTCCATCGGCCTCAACCACAGTCACCTACAACACTTCTGGGTAGTCTCCTTATTTAAGTTGGTGAGTGCTGACATAATCCTTGCCTTCAATTCATCTTTGCTGTTACAAGGAGATTGTGTTGGTTTCTTGTTCAACTGCGCCCACAGATAATAATCAAGAGGGCTACAGTCTAAGGAGTTAGGTGGCCAGATTTACGGGGTCACGTGGTCGCAGAAATTGTCTGACAGTCGTGAATTGGTTCTCCCGTGGCATGGTGCAGAGTCTTGGTGCCAGACTTAGGGTCTTTCAGCAGCCACCCACTTGACCCAGGGCAATGCTACCTCCTCAAGGCACTTTATGTAGACCTCCTTGTCGAGTCTGAGGCCCTGTGGGACGAGAAATGAAGGCAAAACTTCGCCATGCTAGTGATCGCTTCAAACACCTTCGTAATCACCATTAGACTCATCCAACTCTTGCCGAATCCTCTACACTGTCCTCAGATTGAACTCCGAGAATTCTCAAATGTTCGTATTGGAGTTTCCGGTGCGAATGCCAAGCAGTATAGCATACCGTTTTCTATTTTCTGGCGGTGTAAATTGCGTCATGGCTCTTTTTTCTCACAGACTGAGCCCAACTGATCCTACTGTATTGTGAAGTCGACACAATCAAAAACAAACAATGCACATGCGCAAAATAATAAAAATTATAAAACGGCGACAATTTACGCATTGCACCCTGTATATATTTGTGCGTGTTTCTGAAAGAAACTGTAATGCCTGATGAAAAGAAGATCCAACTAAGCCAGGAAGAGTTTATGGAACATGCGTGTCCCGTCAGGTACTGACCACTTATAGCTCTCCACAACTTCTTGTCCGTTGTAACTCTTAGTAACGTTTGTCTATTTTGCTCATCCTTCCAATGCGCGGCATCCATTTACACAAGTTCTTTTATATATCTCCCTCTTGCCTTCAATAGGTGTTCTGAGTATCAAATTAACCAAGCCCCTTTTCCTCATTCTGAATCTATGGAATTTGAACTGCTCCTTCCTGATTGTAAGTAAAAGTGCCTTTTTTGTTTTGATCTTCTTTAAGTCTTCTTCGTTACTCACATGTCCAGTCCGTAGTAATCTCAGCATGTTTCTATAGAACTATATTTCTTTTACACTATTTACATTATTTGGACTATTGTCCTCATCTTTGTTGCCATATTTATCACAACATTTCGGTCGTTGTACGCTCCGGCCTTCTTCGGGTGGTTGGAATCTCGAAATGAACCCTTTATTTCGCTCGCTGGGGTAGACTGTTCTGGTTCCACGTGCCATGTCTAATGGGTGTCACTTATCAGTTATCTCCTGTTAATTCACCTCTCCAAGTTCTTCACCGCCTTAACTAGGTATTGAACTCACACTCCTTGGGTCTTCTCACTGGTTCTAACCAACCTTTATCCACTAAGGACACATTGTACAGTGGATAAAGGCCGAAACGTTGTGATAAACATACCAACAAAGATGAGGACAATAATCCGAATAATGTAAATAGTGTACATAATACCTCATCTCAGAAATATAGACAGATACATTTCCTTTGATTCAAGTTTTTTCTTCATCTGTGAGGAGATTGACCAATTATAGCATTAATTTTAATAATTTGTTTAGCTTTAGAAAGGATTCTTTCCCTAGTTACATTTACTATCATCTGTTAATATATTTAGGGTTAGGTTTTGGGTTAGGACTTAGGTTTCGGGTTAGGGGTTAGGGTTAGGAAGCAAACCAAACAATTACTAACATACCTGTTTTTATCCAAAGAAGCTAATATGTCTATATGATCTAATGTATATATGTTAACAAATATATTCCAAATAACCAAATAGTTGATTCGTATAAGTACTGCTCCAAGTTGCATCAAAAGAAGATTTTATTTAGAACGTAAGAAATCATGGCTCTTCGCAGTTTACAATGACGTCTTGGGAAAGACAGTGGAATGGTTTACTGGTGGCTTATCCATGATTTTGAATCACCAATGGGTAGAAATCCTATATCTGTAAAAGTGAGCGAGTGTTTTTTTAACTATATAATAATTTTAAGAAATGCATAAATATTTTCTGTAATTTTCTAATGTTTTATTGAATTTTAGGCGCTTTGGCTAAGATTTACTATAGTCACCGCACTTATTTTCGGATAACGACGTATATGGAAGCTCATATTTACAAAATTGGCATGTTCCACACACACACACACACACACACACACACACACACACACACACACACACACACACACACACACACACACACACACACACACACACACACACACATTACATAACGTATTGGTCACATCTTTTAATTTATTTTACATCTCGAAGTGTTAGGAAGATTAACAAAAAAAAAAAAACTATTTGAAAGAAAAGTTCGTTACTTATAATTTTATTTCATAGAAAAGAGGAAAATATAATTTGAATTTATTGTAGGTAATTGCCCGCTTAAAGTTTATAAATGCTGACGATTGCTTATACTAGCGTTCTTATTAATTCCTTCAAGTTCTATCTCCATGAGATCGCTAAAAAAAGAGCATAGCATGATGAAATAGACGCCAAACTTGACGAAAACAAGATTTTATCGTCTAAATGTTTATGTTATTAAGAGGAAAGACCAAAGGTTATTTTAATTAATTTTTAAAATGTTTCCTTCTTTTTAGAACATTCTAAATTTTGATTAAAAAAAACCTTGTTCTCTTTGTATCACTGGAACTAGTAAAATAACATATACAATTTTTAGCACGTTTTTTTTTTTTTTTTTTTTTTTATGACACACATTAATTTGGAAAATCTTGGAAAAATTAAAATAATTGTCTGATGTTAATGAAACTTTTAGAAACTATTCACAGATGATCGAAATTATATGTTTTTTTTAAATTAAAGTCATGGCAGCAATATGTTTTTTAATATTTATTACCCCCCACAACTAATTTTATAAAAACTCTAGAAATCCGGTCGAGTCCACTTTAGTGATTACAATAGTTAAAAGCACAAGTCCTTGAGGAATGCAAATCATTTTTTTTGTTTTTAATTGGACTCCCACCACCTGAAAATCAGCTCTGAATTGTAGCATACAAAACTCAATAAAATAAAGATATTATTTAATTTCAAATGCTTTTATTTGCTTTTATGAATATGGAAATTATTTTTTTGAAAGCAAAACATTTTTTCGATGGAAAATGAATTTTTAATACAATTACTTGATATTTCTTTAATTATAATAGATTTTTAAGTTATTAAAATATTATAAAATTAGTTAAAAGCCGCATCGGGTTTCTTAAGTCTCCTTATAAGATAGAGCTTTTTTTAGCGAGTTGTAAATTGTATCATTTTGACTAATCAGAAGATCCACAGTAATTAAGAAATGTAATTTTGTGTTTATAATCGGGCTGTAATTATAAAGTACGGAAGACCAACCAGAATACAATTAAGTTGCGTTATTTGAGTTAAGCATTGTTTTCGCTGTTAAGGCCCTTTACTTTTGCGAAACACGTGTGGAGAGAAGTTAATTTGATTTTTCAATTTCAACTGAGAAGGGTACCACACAAGTATCAGTATCATCTTTGAAATTTATATGATCTTATTTTTATATTAACCACAGTTACGACATTTTTCCATAAACACAAATATCAAATTAATAATAAAACAACATGGAAATACAAGAAACAGTAAATTAATAAATGTACATAAAATTATAGTATTTTACACAACACACACACAAATTTCATAAGAAACACACATTTATAAATTAATTAGACACATTTTTACAAAAATTTACACACACACTTAACAGTCTTATCTTAATTTCAAAATAATATACAACACACATAAATCATCTTACAACATTTAAAGGTGAATTAAAATACAAAAAAAAAAAAAATTAGACACACACTGGACAGTTTTCCTTAAATTTAACGACACAAGTTTTTTTTAAATTAAATAATTTCACTTTTTTTTCCGTAGAACAAACAGGAAAACGTAATCCGTCAAATGTCATTCATCATGTCTAGTGAATTTTTTATTTTCAAATTACATCTTTTCGGCAGAAATTTTTAAATTGGTTCAAAATATTTTAAATCAAAATTATAATTTCTGATTTTTTAAAATAAGTTTCAAAAAAAATTAAAATTGATTTTTAAAAAATTAAAACATTATAAATTATGATAATTAAAATTTTTTTTTATAAAATGGAGAAAAATGGGGAAAAATTATCTGCAAATTTGCTGACTCAGAAAAAAAAAAAAACAAGGTTTTTTAATGTCTTAATTTTCGGAAAAGAACGATTAAAAAAATAAAAAAATTAAAATTTTTGATTTTTTCCTGAATAATTCATTAAACATTGAGACCATAAAAATTTTTTTTCAAGAATTTCCAAATCAATTTTTCACCACAAAATGATGTTAAAATTTTTAGCGATTTCTCGTGGAGGCTACCTATAAAAAAAATAAACAAACGTAAAATAAAATTTCGAACGTTCAAAAAATGAATAATTTAGTAATAATAATAAAATCGTTTCAGTTCAAACGCTACGAATAACGGAACAAAATTTAAATAAAATAAAAAAATATCTGTTTAAAATTTGTTTGAGACATTTTTCTTCTGATGTATGCTCAACATTTTAGTTTGATATTTTTTTTATTACAATACATCTATCTGCCCCGATTATTATCTATCTATCTATCTATGAATATCAGTCATTATAGCATCACAGCAACTCATGGATTCACGAATCGAATTTTGAAACTATAAAAACCAAAACAAGGTTTTTTAGCATCACAGGACGCTGAAAATTTTTTTACAAAAATTTCGTCAATAAAAACCATCGATATAATCCTTATCTCTGTGTATAAAAATAATTGCATGCCACCTCCATCCATCAAATGCCAGCGCAACTAAAGTCCCTTCCTCCGACCATAATAACAATATCTACACCCAAATTAATGGTGGTAGCATGGGAAATCTCTCGGTCAATGCTTCTCCAACTACTACACGTCCCACGTCGAAAACACGGTATTTCAACAAAAATAAATGTCCACTATTTTATTTTAGCGAAAAACAAACAAGAAATTAGTAATCTCAAAACCACATTCAAAAGATGCTTTCTTTCTTTAAATTTTATTCAGTTTATTTTTTATGGTTTGAAAAAAATTAAACTTCTATTCTTTTTTTTTTTTTCGGAGAATTCAGTAATAGCGCATTCACCAATTCATTATACAAAAACCCATTAGCAGGAAACTCTTGTCACCTTAATTTTAACAGTGAATGACCATTTAGATATAAAATAGTAGGTATAAAATTTTTCTAAAGATAGCACACGAGAATTCATTCTCTCGTTCCCTTTTTCAAAAGTTTTTTTAACGTAAAACAGACGCTATTTAACATTGGTTTTCCTCTTTACCTCATCGACCTTCATATTAGACTATTTTTTTTATAAATTCATTTAACAGCGATACTTGAACATATAGATATACAACAATAACATTAACATATTTGACAAAAGCCAAATACATGTTAACTATAAGGAGGGTGAAGTTTTTCTTAGAAATATTACAAAGAAATACACAAGACTAGTTTTCCATTTTCACGTGCGGATTTAATTTTCAGTTGACTTCGTTTGAATTTTAATAGCGTTTTCTAAATTCTTCCAGTTGCTAAGGACATTTTGTTTTGTTGTTAATAGTTACTTTGTTTTAATAATTTCATTTAATTTTTGCCTTGAAAAAGTCCATATTGAACGAAACGCACCGGCTAATAATACAGTTTTCCTATTGTCTTTACCTTTATATATATATATATATATATATATATATATATATATATATATATATATCCGACAAATAGTGCTGTTGTTAATTTAATACAACAGATGTATCTGTGAGAGATAATATGTATATTTTTAATATCAAATCTATCTATCTATCTATCTATTCATCTATCTATCTATCTATCTATCACCGAATGGTTAAATATTGGTAGGTATATGTGCGATCGATCGTATATAAAATATAAATATTATATAGTGTAAGAAAAAAGTGTGCTCTCTGTTAAGTAACAGAGCTATTTATTTAATATGTATCTTAAGAAATACACATATCCATTGAATTAATAAATAATCCTGAAATAATATATATATATATATATATATATATATATATATATATGATTCCTTCGCTACATAAGAGTTCTCATGTTTCAAAAATAAGAGTCGAAAACCTCAATATAATTATTAAAATTAAATTGAAATAAACTATCAAGCCCTGTTTCATCCCCAAGCGAAAATTTAGGAATAACCAATCTTGAAATTTACGCATCTTTATAAGCATGTTCATTCGCAAGATTAATTACCATTGAAACGGCTGGGGCGAACATTTTGATAAGGTGCCTAAGAGTTAATTTGTATCCGCATATCAGTCACCTTCGGAAAGAGGCCAAGCCGAGGTAGGACCGTAGTGTCCAATTCAAAGCAAATGATGTAATTCATGTACGCACATCGTCTGGTCAGTCACAGCGAAAGATAGCTGTTGGCACCATAATGCGTTGTTAACTGTCTAGAGAATTTTATTTTATTTTATTTATTTTTCTAAAGGGCTGTTTCGTACATAAACACGTCGCACTGAACTACAATTTGTTTTTTTTGACGACTTCATAAGGGGTTTTTCTATCTTATGATTGGGTTAAGATTTTAAATCTTTTATTTGACTATGAAATTTAATTTTTCTTATGCTAATTATTTAATGCGAAAATTTGTTGATGTTGGCAAAAAACCGTTAACACATGTCTATGGTTTAATAAATTTTCATTATTTAGAAACTTAATAATGCGTAGTTTTTCATGTAGGCATAAAAGGCATGGATCATCCCAGGTTTTACAAGTTCTTGTTCTATTTATCATTTTCCATTAAACTTTTAGTGTTTTATTCATTTCTTTTAAATGCCAAAAATATTTGGATAGGGATGTTTGGTTTCTATTTCTACTATTACTGAAGGAGCATTTGTGTTGTCTGCATCCAATTTTAAATTCATTCTTCGTTGAACCAATGTATATCCTATTAGTGTTAGGACTGTCAATGGATCAGATAGTGCATTGGTATACCACAGATTTT